TTTTTTAAAATCGATTCGGTAGAATGAGCTTGAATGTGGACGAAAAGCTTAACACTTAACACTCTTTTTCAAATTACAAAAAAACGGCTCGGCAAATCGTCTCACAAAACTGACAAAGTATAGTGCTCATTGAGATACATCAAATGCCTTTTAAATTTCTGAAATCGGTTCAGGCGTTTTTGAGCAAACGTCGACGAAAGGTCTAATTTTGACAAATGCCAAAAAACGATATCAATTTTTGCAAACTTTGACGAATTTTTATAGCTAAACGAGTTGTCGTAGGGCGGTAATATTTTAGTATGATCTAGATATCTAGAAGACTATGGTGTCTACCGTAAAAAAAATCATGAAAATCGTCGAATTTTTTTTTTAAACTTTATTACAAGAAAACGGCCCGTCCGATCTTTACCTAAAACTAATCAGCACGATTCCCAATCAGTATCTTTCGAACGGTTTTTGAATTTTCAGAATCGATTTAGAATTGCGGGCTAAAACGTGGACGAAAATTTTTTCATTTTTCTGCGATTTACAACGAAACGGCTTGGCCGATAATAGCGCGAAACTGACAAACGATAGTCCTCATTGAGATACATCGAATGGCTTTTAAATTTTTGAAATCGGTCCAGCCGTTTTCGAGAAAACGTGAATTTACTGCAAAAAATCTGTTCAGATACACGCACACACACATACTTTTTCCAAATTTGGTCTCATTCGATTCAGAATGGCTTGAAACATCGAGGAAACATAAAATTATCAAATCGGATTTTTTTATGAAAACATAAACTTCTCCTTCGGGAAGTTAAAAAAACGATTTTTGTGACCTTTGACCTTGAAATTTAATAGTTGCGTACACCATATCATATGTGGGTTTTGAGACAGTTTTTAGGGTGTCAATATACAAGTATTTACAGACTTACAGCTGGGTATCTCAAATTCCGAGGTGAAATACTAAAACGACTGGTCTCTATATATTTTAGTTTTAAACTATACACTTCTTATATTTATATATATGGCTTTAAACTAGGTTAAATTAGGCTAGTTTAGCACACAACTGGTATCTTTATCATTTTCTAATTTTTGCCAATTTTTTTTTATTGACTGATATTTTTTGACACTTTTGTTTCATTGGGAATTGTAAAACATGTGTAAAACAAAAGTAATCACCTAAATCAATGATAAAAACAAAATATATCGCACAATCGCAAATTAAACAAATGAAATGGAAAACCCTATGGAAAACATAAATCATACATGAAAAGTTTAGGATTGTGTACTAAATAATGTTCTCAGCAAATTAACAAAATATGAGCGAATCAACAGCCAAAAGGTAATTATACTAATGTTAATTCAAAATAAAAATTATTTTATGTGGTAAGTTACATATTTTGTAATATTATAAAATTATTAATTAATAATTGAAATTAATTAAGAACTTGAAAGTTTTTAATCCATTTAATTAATCATTTTTAATTAGTCATTTAATTAATCTATAGATACAATCAAAAAATTTTTTTTTATTTTTTTATTATGATATAATTGATGTAATATTATATTATATATTCATATTTTATTACAATATAAATTTGTAATATTTTATAAAAATTATGAAATAAAAATTGACAATGACATTGACAAAATATAAACGAATTTAAGATAGAATTAAAAAAAATAAAAAATGAAAAAAAAATTTAGATTAATTAAATGACATTTTGTAAAATGGATTAAAAAATTTCAAGTGTCAAAATTGTACAATGAAATAAATAAAAGTACATTATAGAAATATCAAATAATTCTCGATATTTTGACTTCAAAATTATTCGTTAAAAATTATATTTACAAATTGATTGACATTTGAAAAATAAAACAAAATTTGTGTCAAGTGGTGCATGTTTAATTAAATGGCGGTCAAGATAATGAAACAAAATCAAAAGACAGTTTTTAGAAAGTGAATTAATATGCTATAATTTTTTATGAATTTCAAAAATTGTCGTTAGCAAGTGAGTAAAATGGATTTTGTACAGGTTATGTGTATTTTAATTAAGTTTTTCTGTAGTGAAACGTTGTTTTTTCTATTGATGAAGCAACGAAATAAATCGAAATTGAACAATATTTTTTTGGTTTTTGTTTTATTAATTATTCTCATTACTAAACTTTTAAATTTAAGCGACATCTATTAAAGTAAGTATTTTTAGTTTTTCTACTAACACTTTGAAATATCCATGATATGTCATAGCAAATACATGTGACATCTATATTTTACTTCAATTTCAACATTATTTCAAAATCTCGTTTAAAAAGAGTGTTAAGGATGAAATCTGTTTTAAAATTAAATATTTCCTGCTTCGGAACAGGACAAACGAATCTAAAACATTTAACAAATTGTTGTTTCCACCGAATAAGTTTGCTAGGTGAACATAACCTACAAAAAACTTGTGTTGTTAAATTAGCCCAAAATGTTAATAAAGGCATGATTTATTTCAGAAATTTGTCGAAATTCGGCATCTGGCAGTACGAGTGTACTTTCTAGGCACTACAGTTTCCAAAATTCTTCTAAAATTAGAAAATTCGAAATGCCAAACCATAACAGGAAACCTGAGATGGAAGAAATTAAGCTCAACAATGTCTCTTCAGCAGGTATGTATCACCAAGATAAAGTCATCAGCTATGCAGTCATCAAATTTAAGTGTTTATCTAAAACTCCGAAAGACTTATGGACTGTTGAATTATGATGCTGCTAAGTAAATTCCAAATAGCAGTCCTCAGCTTTTAAATGCACCAAAGTACTAATGGTATAAGCTACCAAAGTAAAGCTATCTAATGTGGTAATCGTAATACAGTAGAACCTCGATTATCCGGACCTCGGTTATAGGGATTCGGGATTATCCGGACTACCAACCACGACCAATTTATATGTATGTACATACCTACAATTCGATTTTTAGCATAATTAATGCTGCAATTTAGTACATGTATGTAATGTCATTGAATTAAAGATATATGTACAAACATAAAGAAGTGTTAATTTCTTAATAAACATTGATTTTTGTTAATATCTATGTATGTAATTTTTATTTTTAATAAATACACAACATTATTCTTCATGCATTTGATTATCCGGATTTTTGATTATCCAAATGCCCATCGACAACAATTAGTCCAGTTAATCAAGGTTCTACTGTAGTAGGAGAGAAAAGGTTTAGTTTATTAGGTTTTTAGTAAAGCATATTGTTGCTTTATGGTTTGTTAATTTTATAAACATTGCTTCATTAACAATTCAGTTCTGACGAAATCCTTTAATTTTTGAGTCGGAAAACTATATCAACATTTACAATGGGATAGATTATGATGACTAAGGTAAGCTACCACATGTTATATTTTTCATTATTTCCTACAAGCACATTGGTAGTATTACACCTCATTTGGTTTTTGAATCATTCCCATCATTTATCATTTTTAATCCATTTGCCTTTAAAGTTGATATAAGTTCGGCTCCAGGTAAAATAAACTCCATTAGAATGTCCTGCAAAGATAACAAGCTTCTTACAATAATCAATTTCTTTCAGATACGTATTGTGAACCTTTTTCTTTTAACCTGATAGTGGCTATGAAGATTTTGTAATCAATAATTTCTTAATTGCATTTAGTAAAATATGAATTCTAATTAGAATGAATATCTTTGAAGTGTTTTTGCTGTGGCTAACTTTGCACAAACATAAAGAAGTGTTCATTTCTTAATAAACATTGATTTTCGTTAATATCTATGTATGTAATTTTTATTTTTAATAAATACACAACATTATTCTTCATACATTTGATTATCCGGATTTTTGATTATCCAAATGCCCATCGACAACAATTAGTCCAGTTAATCGAGGTTCTACTGTAGTAGGAGAAAAAAGGTTTAGTTTATTAGGTTTTTAGTAACGCATATTGTTTCTCTATGCTTTGTTAATTTTATAAACATTGCTTCATTGACGATTCAGTTTTGATGAAATCCTATAATTTTTGAGTCAGAAAACTATCTCAACATTTACAATGGACAGATTATGATGACTAACGTAAGCTACCATATGTTATATTTATCATTATTTCCTACAAACACGTTGGTAGTATTGCACCTCTTTTGGTTTTTAAATCATATCCATATTTATCATTTTGAATCTATTTGCCTTTAATGTTGATAAAAGTTCAACTCCAGGTAACAAAAAACTCCACTAGAATGTCCTGCAAAGATCACAAGCCTCTTACAATAATCAATTTTTTTACCAGATATGTATTGTGAACCTTTTTCTTTTAACCTGATAGTGGCTATAACGATTTTGTAATCAATAATTTCATAGTTGCATTTAGTAAAATATAAATTCTAATTAGAATGAATTTCTTTGAAGTGTTTTTGCTGTGGCTAACTTTGCACTTCCAATTCTTTTGAAATTGAAATAGTCACAGGATTATCTCACTAATGTTATTTTATATTTTAATGTGAAGTGGATTAGCGATATGAAATTTATTTTTTTCTGATTGTCATAGATAATAACACCATTCCGAATTTCGCTCTGTTGAAATCTTTCATTGAAATCAAAATTTGATATGAGAACATAACTGGTTTAATTTTCTGTTTAATATTATTTCAGAGTGGAAGAATGCAAAAAGACTGGGTTCAAGCTCTTTAGAACTTTTACATAATATTGCTATGAAAGTAAAAACACATACAAAAAAGGATATGATGCAGGATATTTCGTTTACGCGAGGTGAAGATATTTGGTACTGCAGTCGTGTCATATATTGGCCTACAGAACTTAAATTTGTTGGGTAACGTATATTGCTAAATGGTGCTGGATTTACAGTAAGGGGCGACAAAATATGTATAGTGAGAAAAAAATTCTATACAATATAATTAACTATTTTGCTTAATAACATTTTTTATTTCAAGAAATATAATTAACAAAACATAATACGATTGCTATGCAAAATTTGAGTTCAAATAACCGTTTATTAAAATTTATTATTTTGCCTTGCCTCTTTCTCCAAACGTAAATTATCAATTACTTATTTTTAATAAGATATTATCAAATTTGGCAATTTGGCTAATATAAAGATTCGTAAACGAGCTGAAAGTTTAAGAAAAATATGTTCTTCAGATCTAGAGCCCTCTTAAGATGACGAATTTGTGCGCTTCCAAGCTTAAAGTGCAAAAAAAAAAATTAAACTAGTGACGCATGGCATTGTGCCTTCAGGCAAATTACTGGAACTTACCGTGCTGAAAATTATATTTTATAAAGAGGTTTAAATTTTTTTGAAAAATGAAAAAAATTACTTAAAAAACTTTTTTTTAATATTTTGAATTTTTTTGATAATTTTGAACTTTTTTCAAAGCAATCGCGCTGCGTAACTGTTTCAGAGACGAAATATCGAAAACCAATTACAGTTTTTTAAAATGGCTGGACCTGTCTGTGCCAGAAACTAATCAGCACGTCTCTCCAATACAAATCTAATACCTTTTTAATTATTCAAGACAATTTCAAGAAACGGATCAAATGATTTGAATGATTCGATTCCTTTTGATAAGGAGTGGTGCTGATTAGTTATTAGTTATTAGGCCAAGGCAGGTCCAACTGTTTCGAAGATACGGGCTAAAATACCAAAAATGATAATTCAGTTTTTGAGCAACGGAGCGTCCAATATCTTTCAAAAAAATGTACATGTATTATCAAAATGAAGAACTGTTTAAATTTGTGGGAGGCAGGTCTAGCGGTTTCGGTGATCTAATAAAAAAATTTGAAAAAGAAACATTTGGCGGTCTAAAATGATTAGAAATTTACACGTCAAATTACCAGATATTCTATAGATATTTTAATAATAAGTATAAATTTTGATTACTTTTGTTTTTGTTTCTGTTTACTTTTGTTCTATATTTTGTATCTACGCAGCGCGATTGCTTTAAAAAAATGTTCAAAATGTCCAAAATATTTCAAAATATAAAAAACGCTCAAATTTTTCAAAAAAGAAAAAAAAATAATACATAAGGAAAAAAATAATACATAAATTTAAGTATCAATTATTATGAATTTTTTTCTAAAATTGATTTTTTTCAAAGTTTTAAAGAAATATTACTTTTTTATTACATTTTTTAATTTTAATTTTCGTACGGGAAGTTGCAGCAATTTGCCTTAAGGCACGATGCCAACCACCACTATTTATAGTATGCAATGCGTAATAAATTTTCGGCAATCAAATAGTTATTATAATTTGAGGAAAATAATATATAAAGACTATATAACTAAAATTTCAGAGATGGAGCGGCATTTTTGTCAATGCTCCAGGGCGCCAAATTTCAAAATCAGGCCCTGTTTATTTAATTAAAGTTAAGTTTAATCGACCGCGTTTTTAGAAAGTACTCGTTTGTAACTATTAGGCGAATGTGTGTTTTTCAATATTGTATTATTCTTAAACCATTTGTCAAAAATAACTAAAATGTTTGAAAATCTGCACAAAATTGAAAAACCTGCAATAGTTTCTTACATTATAATGATTCACAGTGACTTGGTATACTTATAAATCAAGCTTATATAAATTAATTGATTTCATATTGAATAAGTCGATCATCACACATGTCGCAAAGTTTGTACAATTTTACTTAAGACAAAAAGCTTAGTGTTTTACTTAAGGCAAAAAGCTTAGTTTATTGTTTTTGTCGCCGCTTATGCCAAACTTTTACAAATTTAGTTAAATAGTTTTATAGTAGAATCTGTGTTTTTACTAGTTATTCTATATTACCTTTTATTTATTTATTCATAATAATTGATATTTAAATTTATGTATTATTTTTTTTCTTATGTATTATTTTTTTAGGAAGGGGAGCAACAAAAAAATAGCAGCCCAAAACTGCGCAAAAAATATTTTGAGTTATTTGTTGATATCGAAGAAAATCAACTCAAAGTATGAACCTATATTGTATACAAAAAACGAGTTAAAAGAACTACTTACAACAAAACTTGTTGACATTACATTACCGTCAAATCTCATTGGAGAAGTCCGAGAACTAAACCAGTTATTCGATGATCAGATTGGTTAGTACAGATTGTTCAACAATTGAAATATTTATTTTAAATGTTATATTTTTGTTACAGTTCCTATCTTGAGGGACAACAATCAGTTCTCGAAACGTGATCCAGATTTTGGCTATGAAACAAGCTCAAATCAAAGTTAATATTAATAAGTAGATTATTTTAGTAGTAAATGATTATAATCTCACTAATTTATATTTATTTTAGGTGGTGATAGTTTGCCACATAGTCATAAAAATATATCATATACAAGAATTCAAAGAAGAAATGCAGTGTTGACGGAACGTGCGGAAAAAATCCTAAACAATGAACATTCTGCAAGAAAAAAATTTCCAATTTTTAACTATAGGTTTGTACTTTTTTTGTTTCGTAATTGTTTTTTTAGAATACCGTAATATCACGATTCATCAAAGTAGAGCTGTTAACATGCAAATAATAAGTTAGAAAGGAAATTGCTTATGAATTTTTTTATAATAAAAACTAGTTGTAAGTAGCATTTTGCCTTAAGGCAAGTTGATAAGAATTGTAATTCAGCTATTTAGATGAAATAAAATGTTCAATGTACTTATACTTAATCAGTAAGAATTGAGATTCAGCTATTTAAGGGGGTATTCTACTGTAGAATTTTGAAAAAATCGAAATATTTTTTTTTTCATATTTTCAAAGTTTAGTTATTCAAAAATATGTCATTAAAAGGATTTTTTAAAATTACTATTATTTCCTGAGTTATATCCGTTTTAGTGACATGGCCTCGGTTCGGGTCTGACCGAGTCTCAAAACTTTGAAGGCGTTTTTCTCGGAACTACTTTTTTCGAGCTGGCGGTAAGGAGTTCTAATTAACCGATTTACTTTAAATTTGGAGAGGATCTTCTCTATACATCGCTTTATCGCATGGACCTGTCCCAAAACTATAACTTTTCATTTAGTATTTTTAAAAAATTCGGAATTGTTAAAAAAAAACATGAAAAAAAAAATTTTTTTCAAACTGCCGCCATTCAAACAAAAAAAAATTTTTTAACTTATCCAAGGTTCATACGATAGCGGCATCTATAATAATTAAGAATTCATCTATTTTTTATATTTCGGATCACCAGGAGGGTTGGAATCATGTACGCCATGACACCCTCTTTTTTTTGAGCCCCCACTTTGACTGCTCATAACTTTGTGAAATCTAATTTTTTTTTTAAATATTTTTTTATGTAATAATAAAATATCAATAAACAAATGATAAAAAAATCGATAGTAAAAATATTATTTTTTTCCTTTATACAGCGCTTCAAAAACCGGGCAAAATGCATGCTTCTACAGTAGAATACCCCCTTAAATGGATTAATAATTGCTTATTTGGAATAGAACAGTTTATTTAACACATGTTCTGAATGTTTTCACATTGGGCTTAAAAATGTATTTTAGTGGAGTGTGGACGTAAACTGTAATCAGTAGCTACCAACAAAGCAGCACCGAACGTACAGATGCTTTAGCATAGATTCTGATTAGAAACTCTTAATCTAAATAGCATAGATTCTGATTAGAATAGCAAAATTCTAAACTTTGATGAAGTTTTGTAATTCAACCGCTTATCGTAGACCTATAATATTTTTGTGGTATTTCAGGAAATTCATAGTTCATAAACGACTCGGCCGATCTTTGCCAAAAACTAATCAACGCATTTTCCAAACAATATCTTTCTAAACGTGGACGAAAGATTTTACACTTTTTTGTCAAATACAAAGAAACGGCTAGGCCGATCGTCGCGCAAAACTAATCTATGCTAGTCCTTATCAAGATATATTGAATCGATTTTAAATTGTTAATAAAACGAACCATTTATTTTACACAAAAATAAAAGTAATGTAAACCAATATATTTACAAAAACAAATTGTTATTCTGTATATTCCCTATTTCGAATGTTGTGCCTTTTCGCCAAAAAGGGCCAATTAAAGGGGTTTAGCGCCTTCTTTTTGTGTTCTTTTGGAAGTTGTTGATGAGTGGATAAACTATGTTAACGCCTCATAACTTGCTTTCGAATTTTTGTCAAAATTTGATTTATTGCAATTACCATTGAAAGTTCTATTTGCTATTTTTTGAAATTACTACTAACGAAAACTTCTTGTAGGGTGAATTATAGTAATCACAAAAAGTCGAAAATGAACATTTTTGCATATCATTACGTTTTAGGATCATGTGATGTTAGCACGCCTTAGGAAAAATTGATGTACTCGTGTGTGTGAGTGCATGTAGTATATGTTTGTATGTTTGGATACAATTTTTCGTCCACGATTTCGAGAGGACGGATCATTTGATTTGAATGATTTAAAAGTTCAAATTGAATCGTATTAATGCGGAGACGAGCTAATTACTTTTTGGCAAAGGCAGATCCAGCTGTTTCAAAAATGAGGGGTAAAAAGTAACAAGAATGGCAATTCTAAAAGAACGGAGCGTCCGATTTGAATGATTCAAAAAACATATCTGTATTGATATAACGAAGAATTGGTTAAATTTTAGAGACAGTAGGAGTAGCGGTATTCGGCGGAGATCGAATAAAAAACAGTTTTAAAAAATGCCAAATTTTTATTACATTTCTATGGGTTTCGTGCCAAAATTTGTAATGTTTAGCCGTTAGACTGTGACGCGGCGTAACGCGCTAAGCAACAGGATTCATTGCTTCGAAAGAAAATTTAACTTTTCAAAGAAATTTAAAGCATGCGTAACTTGCCTTAAGGCACGATGCCGTGCACGACTAGTTAACTTCTTGCTTTGGTAAATGCCTCAGATAATTATTAAAAAGATTAGTTGCTGTTTTCTAGAAGTATTTCTTCGCTATTTAACTTCTCTAACTTTGTTTCGTTAATTCCACGATTTCTACGGTAAAGAAAGCAGCGTTAATCGCGGTATTACGGACTAATTTTTATATGATGAATAAATGAATGAATTATGATTTATTTGGTACTTAGCTAATTTCTATAAAATTTCAGAGAACAATTATTGGATTTGCTTGAATTTAATCAAGTTGTAGTGATAAAAGGAGAACCAGGGTGTGGAAAAAGTACACAAGTGCCCCAATATATAATGGAGGAAGCATCAATAAATGGTTTCGGCAATGAATGTAACATTCTAATTACACAACCTCGAAGAATAAGTGCAATCAGTTTAGCACGAAGAATAGCTGAAGAGCGAAATGAAAGGGTGAAGTATATTTTTAATTTTTGAAATAAAAGGACTACAATATTTCGATTTAAAAAACAGTATTCAGTTCATATCACAGAAATATTTATTAATTTTTCTAAATAAGTATGCTTGCTAGAAAATCCGATTTGCTAATTTCGTTTTCCAGACGTTTCACGAAACGAAATGGGATGAAATTTGTGTGCATGGGCTAAAATTTTAATATATAAAAAATTTAAATGAAAAAAGAATGAAACTCCATCAGAATAATGTCTCTTGTCTCAAATATTTTTAGCAAAAGTACAATTTGTATAGTTTGAAATAAATAAAATAAAATTTAAAAAAGAATAAATAAATAAATAAATTTATAAACAAATAAATTTCAACAATGATAAGTTGCTCGCATTATATGTATAACTTTTAGTTTGAATATGGTCTTTATCAGAAATATTTAAATCATTATTTTATCAATATCAATTAAGTCGATTATATAACTTTATATAATTTAACTTATAATATTATATACATATTATAAGTTAAATTACAATATATATAACTTATAATATAATATAATATATAATAATAATTTTATTTATTTAATTAGTTACATTATTATATAACTTTATATAATTTAACTTTATATTATATTACAAGCCTATATAACTTTCTTTGCATAATCTCTCATATCAGGCGCCCCAGTCTGACTGAGATATGAAAATAATATATCAATAAAAAAAAAAATTGGAATTGACATACCCAACAAAAGCTAATTATGATTTTAACGTACAAAAAGATTGTTAAAGTATACTAATACAAAATATATATTTATTTATTTCATAATAAAATAATTAAAACTATTTTATTTTTAGCTCGGTGATGTCGTTGGATATCAAGTGAGATTGAATTCAATTACTCCTGATAATACAGGAGGTAATATACTATTTTGTACCACTGGCATCGCATTGAAGAAAATTCAATATGATCCTCTCTTGCAAGCATACTCTCATCTTATAATTGATGAAGCACATGAGCGAGATGCAGACATCGATACTTTATTGCTTTTAGTTAAATATTCTATGAAACAGAATCCAAATCTTAAAGTAATTGTAATGAGTGCAACAATGAACGCAGAATTGTTTAGGAATTATTTCAATAATGGTGCAATATTAACAATACCTGGTTTTACATATCCAGTTACAATGAACTTCCTAGATGACATGAAGAAGTTACCAATGTTGAAAAAATATTTTAAGTGTACAAATGAGGAGAGGCCTCTAATATTTGAAGAAGAGGTTGCTGGTTTGATAAATTGGATTCACAAAAATAGACCATCTGGTGCTATACTTTGTTTTCTTCCAGGATGGCAGGAAATTATGATGGTTCGAGAACACTTAGAGGATTTGAATAACTCGTCGTTACAAATTTTGGTAGCCCATTCAAAAGTATCAACCGAGATGCAAAATAAAATTTTTCATGTTCCTCCACTAAATGTGAGGAAGGTAATTCTGTCCACTAATATTTGTGAGACAAGTATTACAATTAATGATGTGTCATATGTTGTCGATTGTGGAGTGCACAAAAATAGAAATGTTCTACCTTCTGGTTTACAAAGTTTGGAAGTAGACTGGATTTCGCAGGCTAGTGTAAAACAGCGCCAGGGTCGCGCTGGTCGCGTTAAATCTGGTGAAAGCTTTCACCTGTTTACAAAGAAGCGATATGATGCGCTAGATCCGCATACACTTCCGGAAATCCTCAGAATGCCCCTGCAGAAAGTTATTTTGGATAGCAAGACTTATCATTATGGTCAAACAGCCCAAGAGTTTTTAAGCCAGCTGATAGAACCTCCACCTGAGAGCAGAATTGAACAAGCGGTGAATGAGTTAATTGGCATGTCAGCTCTCGATGAAGATGAAAACTTAACACCTTTAGGAAAAAGAATTGCGTGGTTCTCGTTACCACCTAAATTGTCAAAGGCCTTAATTCACGCATCTATTTTTAAATGTTTTGATCCGATACTTACAATTTCTACAATGTATTCAACTGATGGTGAAGCAGGAGTAAGTGATACAAGAGAAGGTATTGATAAATGTATTATTTACTTCATTATTTATTATGGCATGTCTTCAATCAATATTGATTTTTGCCAGTTTTATGTCATTCTAGATCATGTAAAAACATTAACTTCTCTTTTGGGAAGTTAGTAATCTGCTTGCCTTTAGTACATTGACGAACAACGTTATTTATATACATAATTTATATTAGAATAAAATATAACTTCTTTTTTCATCTAAGTATTGCTATGTTCAATATTTTATATTTTGTATTTTTCAGATAATCGTTTTCTCAAAGCACAGTATGACAAACTCAGCGACCACGTAGCTGTGGTCAAAATTTATAATGATTGGAAAAATTGTAGAGAATCTTCCAGCATGAAATTTAATGAAAAAATTATGAAACAAACTGAACGTATGGATTTATTATGAAATTTAAATATTATCTCAAATGAGAAGTAAAGTATATTACATTTTTTATTGCAGAATTACGGGAGCTTCATGCGGAGAATGTGTATGCTTGTGGAATTTTGAATAAATCAGATGATTATAGATTAGAAAACTCCGAATGCAATGAATTTGCTAATAATGATGAGTTGATGAAAGCAATATTATTTAGTGGTGTCGCTTCAATATGTGAATATCATACTCATAAAATTGTAAAAGGATTACCTAAAAGATCTCCACATTTCTCTAATGTGTAAGTAATTATAAATGATTGTGAATTCAGTTACTCTTAATTTTTATCATGAAAAAGTTAAGTATTTAAAAGTTTTCACATATTTTAAAGTGATGTAGTTTTCCATCTTCTGGAGGTATTTCATTTTACTCACTTTTTACTTTCTGAAGATAATTTCATCAGAAAATTCGATTTGCTAATAAGTTTTGGCATTCTGAATATGAGTGAGCCAGCATTTAGTCGTTTTTTTTTTTTCAAAAACGGCTGAATAGATAAAAAATTAAAAAGGTATTCCATTAAAATCGTTAAACACTCGCGTTGTATGAGACGGTCGGCCGAGCCGTTTGTAAGTAAAGCGAAAAATTATTAAGGAAAGATATTCTTTCGAAATCGGGATGTCAAAGATCGGTTGTGTCGTTTCTTTGTAATCGATAGTTTAAAACGCCTGGGGGTCCTCAGCGCCCGCATGCAAGATTTGTTCTAGCGCCCCCTCCCCCCAATAACTTAAACTCTTTTAACATTTATCATTAAAATTATACAAATATTTACGTAAGTTCATACAAAAAAATTAGATATAATCTACAAGCGTATAAAATACATTGATTTTAATTTTATTCAAAAAATCGAAGCGGTTTGCGGGTTGACCGTAATTAAATATTTTATATGTTCGAGTATTTCTGACATATATATAATAATAATATTTGGGTTTTGAAACATTTTACTTATTTAATTTTAAACATTTAAACATTCGTTTTTCATGTTGGATGTTTTAAATTTCATTTTAATTTTTTTTTTTCATTATTTACAATATCCAAAATTGCATCGTAAACTTCTTCTTATCGATATCGTAAGGGTCGAATTGTATTCATGTTTACTTTTTCATCTGATTGATTATATCAGATTGTTTTAACGTATTTTAAAAGATGCAACGAAATTACATATTTTCTGAACTATATCGAAAACAAAACACAATTATATTTGTATCTGTATTATTTCTGCTTCGTTAATAATCAAATTTAGTATGGATACCACTAGGCATAAAAAAAGCTCACGATTTCTGTTTCTAAGTACATTTTGTTTCCATTTTTCATATTTGCTCTATTTCTAAAAACCTAACCCAAATTTAATCAGATGCGAAATATTTTCAACAAAAACAAAAGTTACACTTAAGTTTCTCGGTCTCAATAAGTCATTTTCTAAGCACTGACTTTCCATTTACCATTTTTCTCTATTATAATTTGTATCTATTTTTTAACAAGTTCCGTTCAAACTAAATCAGCTTCCAATTTTTCGTCAATAATGCCTAATAATTTAAACTTTCATAGGTTTGCGCTTACGGTATTGAACACTAGATAATTTCTTTTTCTATTCCATATTAACTTCAATCGAAACTTAAATAGAGGCTTACGACAAGTTGGCTGCGGTTCTAGAAAATACTGTGTATATATTAGGCGTCTGTTCATTATTTAATAATATGTAATATTTAAACAATTTGTAGAAAATAACTTATATGTTTGATTAATTTGCACAATATTGAATAATTTTTTATAAAATAACACTTTCGCTACGAGTGGAGCTATACGAGCCAGCAAGCTGTCCAAGTATTTGTTACACAAAATATTTTAAGATTATTTAGTCATTTTCAATAAAAACGTTTTAAAAATTAAATTGACGTGCATCCTAACCAACTAGCATGTCATTTATACCAGGCTCAAAAGAAATGTTAGTAGAAAAATGTTTAATTTATAATTTGAAATTTTGAGTCAAATTAAACATTTAAATTATAACATAGTTTATCAACTTTTTAATATTATTTAATTCATAATATTAATTAAGGGGCACAGCTAGTATGACAACCTAAAAAAAGCGCTAATTATGGGAATTAAAAAAAAGAAAACTAGTGAATCCATATATTTAAAATTTTGAGGGTATATTTATACATGTTTTGAGAATACATAGTCAAATTGTTGAAATAAAATATTAAATATTTTTGAAATGACACGCAATCTCCGGCGGCACTAAAAAAAAGGTCCTCCACTGCTGGAGTGATTGCAGTCTTCTAAAAAAGAAGAAGAAAATTTCACACTAGATGTTCCCCTTAATATGAAATGCTATTACTATTAATATAGTTGAAATTGTTACCATATATTTTTCTTTAGTGATCATAAAAAAGTAAAAGCACGTTTTCTCCAACAACTAAATAATCAATTGCTTATAGCAAATTCACTTATATTATTATATTTCTTTTTAGATCTCAACAAATTCTACAAATTACCTGCCAAAGTGTGCTATACGATCGTACAAGCTTTCCTTCACCATTTTTGTGTTACATTTCTGAGTTACACTCAGTTGAAAGGCGTAGATCTTTAGTATCAGAGGCTTCTGTGCTATCACCCTTAGCTCTAATGCTGTTCAATGAATCGGGAATAGCATGCGATTTTGAGGACACGAATGGAAATCGTGCTTCAGATGAATGTCACAAAACAATTACCATTGTAGATCATGATGTCAAATTGAAATGTCATGATGAGTAAGTATATATTTCGAGTAGTTTAGTTAATAATATAAATAATACAATAGAGGGTAAATCAGTACTTGCATTTTAATTATTTATAATAATTACAATTTATACTAGTAGTGAGTTATACGTGTGTATACTTAGCACCATGATGGTGGAAATTGGCAAAACTGATATGACCTGATTTTTTGACGATTTTGCTGCTGTCGATTGGTGTAAACTAAATTTTTTTTGTTCTTTCCTTTCTCGGGATAAATGGGGGGGGATTATTGAAATATTGTTAACTAATTTGTCTCTTTAGACTATTTCAAGTAAAAGTACATAGATCTAAATGCATCAAATTACTTAGCACAGCGGATTGCCATCCGTTTCCATACTACGAAAAAACCAAGATTATAAAATTTAATTTTTTGAAAATTTCTTTTTTGCATCGCAGAACAAAAAAATCACAGATTCCGAAACAATTTTTAAACTTTTTAAAAAGTGTCCTATTTTTTTAAATTGGTGAATTTGGAAATTTTTCGATGCGTAAAAATCTATGATGGGTAAAATGTTTCAGAAAATGAATTGCACCATACGACAGCAAAAAAAAATCACTGATAACGATGGATTTTTTTTTAACTTCCCGTAGGGTAAGTTATTGTAATGGGCCGAAAATCGGAATTGAAAATTTTTACATTTCTCGACATTTTGAAGGTTTCTGAACATTTTGGCTACTTCAGAAAAAATGGATGTGTGTGTGTGTGTGTGTATGTATGTATGTATGGATACAATTTTTCGTCCACGTTCTCGGGCGTACGGATCAACCGATTTAAATGGTTCAAAAAACAATCGATTCCTATTGATAAGGAGATGTCCTGATTAGTTTTTAGCAAAGGCAGGTCCAGCAGTTACGGAGATAAAGAGCAAAGAGTGCAGAAAATAGAAATCGAGTTTTTGAGAGAACGGAGCATCCGATTTGAATGATCTAAAAAACATTCAATTAGTAATGATTGGGAGAAGTGGTTATTAGTTTTTCGCAAAGGCAGGCCAAGCCATTTCGAAGATACGGAGCTAAATGTACAAAAAATGGCAGTTTTTGAGAGAATTAAGCGTCCGATTCAATTGATTCAAAGAACTTTCTGCTTGTCTTAACAAAATTATTGATTTTGGATAAAAATGTTTCAATTTTTTTTTTTTAATTTTTTGTATATCGAAAATAATTCAGATTTTATTTTTAATTCTGACTATAGTTCTAATATACTTTAAACAAATAATTTCAACTCTGCAATTCAGTTTATATAATTCTTATAAATATTAGACAATGTTACAATATTTATAATAATCTATTTGAAAACATTCAGTATTCCTCGAACATATCGTTACGGTACGGGAAGTTCCAGCAATTTGCCTTAAGGCACGATGCCACCCACCCCACTATTTTTTTTGCATTTTCAGAGGGGTCGGTGCTGACTATTCGTATAGTTAGCACCGAATTTGGCCCCACCCATTTATCTCGAGAACGGAAAGAGCAAAAAAGTTTTAGTTTACACCAATCGACAGCAAAAAAATCGTCAAAAAATCAGGTCATATCAATTGCCAATTTCCACCACACGTGTGGGTTGCAATAAACGTGCTTGTACTATCATAGTACGTACAGGTACTATCATCAATCGTAGTACGATGTAGTGGTGATCATAGTATGATGTAGGAAATACAATACCGGTAGGCCGCCCGAATTTTCTGCGGTTTTAATGCCGGTAGTTATATTAAAAATATCGATATTTTCGGTATTTTTACATAAGCGCTATTTCATACATATTACACTCGAATTTAAATTCCTCGGAACAAATTTATATTTAAATTCCATAATCGCATCAACAGATTGTATCTTTAAGTGGCTCTATGGTATAAACAAATATCAAAGTATAATCTCAACTCGTCATTAAACTGATTATTGCTTCATATCGTGTTACAATAAATAAAATAGGACTGATAGATAATGATGTTTATTTCATATTATGTAAAACTGTAACGGTTTTGTAAAATGATATCTGCGCTAAATGTTTTATATCATAAATACTCACAATCAACATAATAAAGATTACCACTGCGTACAATAATTACTAAATATTTTTAACTTCCCGAAGGAGAAGTTTATGTTTTCATCAAAAAATCCGAATTGCTAATTTTATGTTTTCTCGACGTTTCAAGCCATTCTGAATCGAATGATACCAAATTTGGAAAAAGTATGTGTGTGTGTGTGTGTGTGTGTGAACAGATTTTTTGCCGTAAATCGACGTTTTCTCAAACACGGCTGGACCGATTTCAAAAATTTAAAAGCCATTCGATGTATCTCGATGAGGACTAGCGTTTCTAACTTTTGTACGACGATCGGCTGTTTCTTTGTAAATCGCAGAAAAGTGAAAAATTTTTCGTCCACGTTTTAGGCCGCAATTCTGAATCGATTTTGAAAATTCAAAAATTGTTCGAAACATATTGGTTCGGAATCGACCTGATTAGTTTGTGGTAAAGATCGGCCGGGCCTTTTCTTGTAATAGAGTGTTAAAAACGATTTTCATAAAAAATTTTTGACGGTAGATACCATAGTCTTATAGATCATGCTAAAATATTACGGTCCTATGACAAGTAGTTTAATTTTAAAAATTCGTCAAAGTTTACAAAAATTAGCGTCGTTTTTTGACGTTTGTCAAAAAAAGTTGTGATTTTGCATATTTATTTCAATTACTATATATTTTCAGTTTTTTTGCATTAGCTTTATTAAATATATATAATATATATATATATATATATATATATATATATATATTAATATAGTATTTACTATATTTGGCGTACGATTTTCTTGGGTTAATACTACAATTTTGGCTTTTTTATATTTTTTTAAAAATTTAACTTCCTTTTTATCATTAATAATAGATATACATTTAAAAAATGAACTAGTGGCGCATGGCATCGTGCCTTAAGGCAAATTGCTGAAAATGAAACTCGTACTGTATTAAAATATTCGAGAAATTTTAAATATATTTAGTCTGAATAAAAATTAAAATCCGAATAATTTTAGATAATTAAAGAAAATGAAAAGATTTTTTTTTGAAATTTTGGAAATTAGATTTTTTGTGAAATTCGTTTTGAATTATTCAAAAAACTTTCTGCTTGTGTTGACTAAACGATTGCTTTTGGGAAAAGAATTATTTTTCAATTTTTTTTAATATCGAAAAAATATTATTTTTGAATATGAAAAATAATTCGGTTTTTAATTTTAAAGTTTTAAAGCTCACTTATATACCTTTTATAAATCATTGATTTTTTTTTTTGTTTCGGGCGACATTCATTAGCTAAATCGTGTCAACCGTTTTGGTATAGATTTTTCGCGAGGGACATTTCAAGTTCAAAAGGCAAATTGCTGGAACTTTCTGTACCAAAAATTATATTTTTAAAAAAGATTAACATTTAAAAAAAAAATTCACTCTGAAAAAATTAGATTTTTGAGAAACTATAAATTTTTGACTAAAACTTACTTTTTTTTTAATAAAAAAAGACTTTTTGAAGAAAAATTCATTTTGAAATATTTTGGAAATTTTTTTTTCAAAGCAATCGTACTGCTTTAACTGCATAGAGACGAAATATCGAAGCGCGTAAGCGCTGCGTCGCCGTCTAACGGATAAACACTGGTACGGTACCCATAGGAATGTAAACAAAATTTGTACTTATTGTTAGAATCTCTATAAAATATCTGATAATTTGATGTGCATATGTCTAATGATCATTTTCGACCGCCAAATGGATTTTTTTTTACTTTTTTTACTAGATATCCGAAACCGCTAGACCTACCTTCATGAAAATTTGATCAGTTCTTCATCTTGTTAATACAAGTAAAATGTTTTTTGAATTATTCAAATCGCTCTATTCTCTTAAAAACTGAGTTACCATTTTTGGCACTTTTTGCTCCATATCTTTGGAGCGGCTAGACCTGCCTTTGCCAAAAACTAATCAGCACGTCTCCTTATCAATACGAATCGAATGTTTTTTGAATTATTCAAATCGCTTCATCCGTGTTCCCGAAATCGTCGACGAAAATTTGTATCCGAACACACACACACACACGCTCACACACACACACACACATACATCCATTTTTTTTAAGGTATGCCAAAATGTTCAGAAGGTTTTGATACGTAAAGATATATAAAAATTTTCATTTTCGATTTTTTTGCTATTACTATAACTTGCCCTACGGGAAGTTAAAAACAGTATCAAAAACCAGGCCATAAGGTTAATTTTAGTTTTATTAAAAATTTAATTTCATGATATAAAAAATTGAAATGTTACAGGCAAATTGAAGATCTGGTCAAACTACGTCTCGTAATATTTGACACTTTACAGTATTTTATCATAAATCAAGGAAAGGCAGATCTTGATCATGAACGCCATAACGAAATGTGCAATTTTAGAGATAATGTAGTGTCATTAGTGATCAAGTTATTAAACAGGATGAAGTATTGTAGTTAAATCAATTCTTAGTTTATCATGAAGTCTGTGATCTTTATACATATATGAAGGATAAAGTTATGTTTTATATTCTTCAATAAAGGATAGATTTAATTTTCAATGTTTTATTTTTTCGATTTTTAAAACATTTCTAACATCTTTTTAGGATATTTTTTACAGTTTTTATTTATATATGAGCTGAGTTAAAAGATCGCGCTTTACTTCAGTCAAAATTGTGCGAGTTGCTTAAAAGTTTGATATCCATACGTTTCTGCTAACATCCTAGCTTTCTTTCAGTGGAATATCATTATAATTGTATGATCAAGTCAGCTTTGGGGACTTGTTCGAGAGGTCCCGGGTTCGATGCCCACTTCGAGCAGCCTGTTGTCAGGCAGCAGTGACAACGATTTTCACTTGGAAATATAGATAGCAATATGTTTTCAAGTGAAAATAGCCCTCACCCGGCATTGCTGAATCTATAAAATTACTTGCCCTATTACAGAAATTGTAATACGGAGATGTGACAACTGATTGGGTTGCCATCTGTCAAACAGACTAGTATTAAGTCAATATTAGCACAACAGCTTATAGGACTATTAGGTTCTGATTGCTGTTCAGAAGTAATAAAAAAAAGTCAGCTTTGACATCCGAGGATAACAAGACTTTGTCAAGATTTTTTACATATTTTGTATCATTTTTTTGGATCATTGCAGTTCCGGAATTTTATGGTAATTACTAACACATATAATAGCCCAGACCACTGGTCTTCCGTTGTCCCACTTATTTAGTACGCCAAGTCCTCGGGTCACAGCGTGCTAGACAGCAGGTTTGACGACAACACTGGGCGCGGAGTGATGTGGCCATCAAGTCAGCTTTAACATCCAAGGATACAAAACAGTATGTCATGACTCTTTAGATATTTTTATGAATAATATTTTGTATTATGTTTTTATACATTTGGAAATAATTTATTATGAATCAACAAATTTCCATATAATAATTAAGACGGACAAATATATGTGAGCACGCCACTTAGAGCAGAATTATATGCGTTATATGAAATTATCATATTCTAATACGTAATAGCCATCGTTTTTCAACTTAACTTTAGTTTCGTAACGAAAGTTACAGAATGAGCTGCGTGACGGTTTTATTTATGTTATCTTTTGTGGTTTACTGAGAAGCGAACATAATTACTTTTTCCAAATTTGGTTTCAAACGATTAAGAATGAGTTATGTAGTGATATAATATAATATATAATATTCATATTATTAACTTCCCGTAGGGTAAGTTTTTGCAATCGTCAAAAAATCGAAATTGAACATTTTTACATTTCTTCACGTTTTGAAGGTTTCTGAACATTTTGGCATACCTCAGAAAAGATAAATGTGTGTGTGTGTGTTTTGTGTGCCCGCATTTTTTTGTTAACGTTTCGGGCGCACGGATCACCGATTTGAATGGTTAAAAAAATATTCGTTTCCTGTTAATGGGGAGATGTGCTGATTAGTTTTTGGCAAAGGCAAGTTCAGCCGTTTTGGAAATACAGAACTAATGATTTGAATGATTCAAAAAAAATTCGATTCTTATTCGATTCCTATTGATAGGGAGACGTGCTGATTAGTTTTTGGCAAAGGCAGACCCAGCCATTTCGAAGATACAGAGCTAAATGTGCAAAAAATGGCAGTTTTTGAGAGAACTAAGCGTCCGATTAGAAAGATTCAAAGAACTTTCTGCTTGTTTCAACAAAATAATTGTTTTTGGGAAAAAAAAATGTTTCAAATTTTTTTTTTTTTGAATGTTTTTGGTAAAGATCTGCCGGATCGTTTTCTTGTAATAATAGTATAGGAGGCAGCAACGTTTTCAAAACAAGCATTTTAACCAGGCTAGTTTTTTGGTATGTGGTCTTTCGTGCTCCCTCGGTTAGCGTACGGGCCGTCTGGCAGCTGGAAGTGGTTGCGTTAATTAGTGCGCAGCCAACTTGTACAGCGCGATTTCGAAATTTTGAAAGCATTGTAGTCAGTCCAATTTTCATTTTTTTGACTTCGAATAGGTTCACCTCACTCACATTTTTTGTTGCCAGACATTTTGGGCGCTGCTATAGCTATATTTATAAATATGTGCAATACGCCAATTTATTTATTAATTTTTTTTTTAATTCAAATCATTTTAGTCCGTCTGAAACTTTAATATTATGTTCGTTAAGGATAAAAACACAAAATTAATTTGCCAGACGTTTCTGCGGTTGTTAACCACGTCTGGCAATAAAAAAAAAGTCTGGCAATATGATACTAGTTTATAGCATTTTAGTCAGATTTTCATTTTTTGACTTTGAATAGGTTATCCAGACTCACATTTTTGTTGCCAGACATTTTGGGCGCTGCCAAATATGTGCCAGACGCCAATTTATTTATTAATTGTTTTTTAAATTCAAATCATTTCAGTCCGTCTGTAATTTTAATATTATGTTCATTAAGGGTCAAGATCAAGTTAAGTTTTATTTAACTTTGAATAGTACACGTATTGCGCTCTTATGAATATAATAGTTTTTTGTTTTATTCGCGCCAATGTATTTGGCGATTGTCTCACTCTGTCTACTATAGTAATCATATTGGCAAACTTTTTTCGTTGCCAGACATGCTTAACAACCACAGAAACGTCTGGCAAATAATTTTACGTTTCTTGACCCTTAATGAACATAATATTAAAATTACAGACGGACTAAAATGATTTGAATTTTAAAAAAAAAATTGGCGTCTGGCACATATTTGGCAGCGCCCAAAATGTCTGGCAACAAAAATGTGAGTCTGGATAATTTATTCAAAGTCAAAAAATAACAATTGGGCTGACTAAAATGCTTTCAAAATTTTGAAATTGCGCTTGCGTACAGGTTGGCTGCGCACTAATCAACGCAACCACTTCCAGCTGCCAGACGGCCCGTACTCAAACCGAGGGAGCACCAAGGACCACATACCAAAACCGGCCTGGTTAAAATGCTTTCTTGAAAACGTTGCTAGCTGTCGGACCATAAAGTGCTAAAAAAAAAATTAGACGATTTTTATTTTTTTTTTGACAGTAGATACCGACAAGTCATTTAATTTTAAAAATTCGTCAAATTTTGCAAATATTAGTATCGTTTTTTGTCGTTTGTCAAAATTAGACCTTTGATCGACGTTTGCTCAAAAACCGATTTCAGAAATTTAAAAGCCACTTGATGTATCTCGATGGGGGTTATAGTGTGTCACTATAACCCCCATCTATAACCCTATAACTATAGTTATAGGTGAAAATCTACCGAGCCGTTTTCTTGTAATTAACTGTAGAAAAAAAAATTTGGCGATATATATCATGGTCTTGTGGAACTTACTGAAATATTACGGCGTTACGACAAATAGTTTAATTTTAAAAATTCATCAAAGTTTGAGAAAATGAGTATTTTTTTTTTACGTTTGTTAAAATTAAAATTAGACGAATTACTTGGTATTACAATAGAGTACTTAGTCTTAATAAACATACTAAACCATTAAAGTCTTACAGAAACTGGTTCAATTATAAAAATTATTGATTTTTTAAAATTTGTTTCAGAAAATACTCCGGGTTATCATGTTTGTTTTCAATTATGTGTAATAAATCCACTCGGAATACTTTTAATCACTCATAAATTAATTTATTTTTTATTGGTTGTCGATTATTTACACACATCGGAAAGTTTATGTAACTTGCCTCAATGCAAAATACCAATACCAACTAGTTTAATAATTTATTTCTTCAATATCTATAACAAAATTCATATCTACATTGTAAATTATGTTACTATGTTGCAGTGACTAATTTTTGTTCTCCTTGTGGACCTTCACTTGGCAGGACCGAAACTTCTTCTTCTGGATTAAGCTCCTCAGTTTCCTTTTGAGGTTCATTTTTAACTCTGTAACTTTTTGCGGATGGTTCTTTGGGTGGCATCCAATCTGGGATGATTTTATCATGTACTCTCCAAATACCATATTCATTGGATAAATGTTTCTCGAAAACAACATACTCCAAAACATCTTTACTTAGTATTTCACTTCCATGCATTAAACGCCCAAAGCGGTCATAAATAGCTAAAATCTGAGAAAATGTGTTAAATTATTACAATGAAATACATATGACTGTATTTAACTATATATTAACTATATTTTTTACAAACAATTACTGTTTGCATTGTAAAATATCTTAAAAATATTATCTTAGATTTTATAGTTTTATTTAATATAATTTTCGAAATATTTAATACAATTTCTTTTATTACTATACCTGTTCAGTGTGGAATCTAACTGTAACTTGAGCAAAGATGTTGTCTTTCGTAATCATATCAGTGCAACGAGCATGAACAACCCTAGGTGGTTCTAAGGACTTCAAAAACTTCCAATGTATAGTTTTATCAGAAATATTATTAAGAACTTCATTATATGCTCTTTCTGTTACAACTTCTGGTAATTTATCTTTAGCCTTTGCGCACATATATTCGTGGACCTTAATGTAGACATCTTGAGCAAGTTTTGAAAATTCTGGAGGCTCAAAATCTTCATCAAAGTTACGTATTTTACGTACAGCCATCATAGATTTTGATTTTTTCTCAAGAAATTCTAGTTTTTGTTTGGCTCCTGTTTTGCTAATGGCAGACATTTTACCATCTCCTTCAGGAGGTACATAGGGTTCAAATACACCTCCAGTACTGCTGATGAAGAATGCCCGTTCCATCCAAGGTCTGACAGGTAAAACACCCATTTCCTTCATTTTAGATCGCATTTCTTCAATACTCAAATTTTCATTGTCTTCATTGAAATTTGGCAAGTCAACTTTAATAACTTTTTGTGCACGCAGCTTTTTAAACTTAGGGTTGACATGCTTTGTTCGTCTATGCCTAACATGTTGTTGATTGATTAATATATTGGAACCATCGGATATAATAAACTTGATTGAAAAACCTGTAAGAGGTAATATAAAAGTTAGCAACACAAATTATTTATGAAAAGATAATTTGTGTTAATAAAAAAGAATTAACCTGGATTAGTTTGATTCTGCATTGTGTTGTTGCTGCAGACATAATTCGTTAGTGTCAATCTATTAATTAAGTAATTTTCTACAAATAACGCAAGCATTAACTTTATGTCATATTTCATGTATGAAAATTTTCAGGTTAATTTTTTGGCGGCCATAGATACATAAAATAATTAGCCACAGAAGAAACCCTAGAAACTAAAGGTGCGTCCACACCTAACGAACGAACACGAACGAACATAAAAGAACGTACCAGAACGAACGGCAACAGCATAGTGTGGAGCCACAACGATCACGAACGAACATAAACAAACATGGCGAGCAATGTTCCGCAACTTGTCGGTACATCAAAGAGAATTGTTCGTTCATGTTTGTTCTCGTATGTGCAGTGTGGACGCTACCACGAATGTAGACAAACATTTTTCTTTTTTGATGTAAAAATGTGCAGTCCTGCATTAGTTTTTGTTGTGTTTATAATAAGATATTGATGTTATTGACAAATTTTGTAAATTTGATGACTTTAAATAATTTTGCTCTTTCTCGCCACTTTAAATAATAAATCTGACGTTTCACGGTACATCCTCGAACAAAAAGATTCAAGCCCTCACTGCTTTGAGGCGTTTGTTTGGAATCTTTTGCGTTTGTTCGTATTCCTGTTCGTTCTTCTTTGTATTTTCTTGTTCGACATGTTCGTTCGTGTTCGTTCGTTAGGTGTGGCGCACCTTAAGGCTAGACGCTAGACAATCCAAACCAAAACAGTCTGCAAGGAAGTACTGAGCCCTACTGAGCCATAGATAAAAGAAGTATAATGGGTTTACTTATCTATGATAATGGGTTTGTTCATAGATAAAAGAAGAGTATAATCAAGGGTAAAGAGTATTTATACTTGTTTATCTATGAGTATAATGTAGAATGGGTTTGTTAATGCGTTGAAAACGTTATCATTTAACGTCATATTTTCAACATTTACGAATGTATCGCAATTGAGCATCACTCTTTTCATAAAATTATAATAATATAATCAATAATCAGTTGAAATATATCATCTAAATAATCAATATTTTAAATAAAATTATTTATTGCATTTTGTTTCGTTTAATACTCAACTCATAGATAAAAGAAGAGTACTCTTCTTTTATCTATGGAAGAGTATATGACTCAACTAGTTTAAGTTTGATTCAAATCTACCTTTAAATAATAACATGAAATAATAAACTAGTTGGTTTGGTATTTAGCCTTGAGGCAAGTTACATTAACTTCCCGATATGTTTAAATAATCGACTTAATAAAAAATAAATTAATTTATGAGTGATTAAAAGTATTCCGAGTGGATTTATTACACATAATTGAACACAAACGAACACTTTGACTCGAAGTGTTTTCTAAAAGCAAATTTTCAAAAATCAATAATTTTTATAATTGAACCAGTTTCTAGGACTTTAATGGTTTATTATGTTCAAGACCAAGTACTCTATCATTATACCAAGTAAATAGTCTAATTTTAATGTTAACAAATGTCAAAAGAACTACTCATTTTCTCAAACTTTGATGAATTTTTAAAATCAAACTATTTGTCGTAAGGCTATAATATTTCAGTAAGTTCTATGAGATCATGGTATATATCACTAAAAAAAATCCATAAAAATCGGCTTAAATTTTTTTTCAACAGTTAATTACAAGAAAACTCGGCTCGGTAGATTTTCACCTAAAACTAATCAGTATCATTCCCAACTAATATCTTTCAAACAGTTTTTGATTTTTTAAAATCGGTTCGGTAGAATGAGCTTAAATGTGGACGAAAAGTTTAACACTTTTTTTCAAATTACAAAGAAACGCTTGGCAGATCGTCAAACAAAACTGACAAACGTTAGTCCTCACCGAAATACATCATGTGGCTTTTGAATTTTTGAAATCGGTTCAGGCGTTTTCGAGAAACCGTCGATCAAAGGTCTAATTTTGACTAATGTCAAAAAAACGATACCAATTTTTGTGACCTTTGACGAATTTTTAAAGCTAAACGAGTTGTCGTAGGGCCGTAATATTTTAGTATGACCTAGAAAACTATGGTATCTACCGTCAAAAAAAAATCATAAAAATCGTCGAATTTTTTTTTTAAAAAACTTTATTACAAGAAAAATCAGCACGATTCCCAACCAATATCTTTCAAACGGTTTTTGAATTTTCAAAATCGATTCAGAATTGCGGGCTAAAACGTAGACGAAAAATTTTTCACTTTTCTGCGATTTATAAAGAAACGGCTTGTCCGACCGTCGCACAAAACTGACAAACAATAGTTCTCGTCGAGATACATCGAATGGCTTTTAAATTTTTAAAATCGGCCCAGCCGTTTTCGAGAAAACGTCGATTTACGGCAAAAAATCTGTTCACATACACACACATACTCTTTCCAAATTTGGTCTCATTCGATTCAGAATGGCTTGAAACGTCGAGAAAACATAAAATTTGAGAATCGGATTTTTTTATGAAAACATAAACTTCTCCTTCGGGAAGTTAATAATTAATGGAATATACAATATATTGTGTACGCTACGATGGAAATTCAGGAATAATCGCTTTTTGATAGGTAACGATGTTTGCGATGGATGAATATTTGCTTAGAGCGTGACTGCGGCGCCCATGCAGCGCCGTAATAAATATGAACTAATTGTGGCTATCAGTGTGTGGTTTTCATGGGTTTTATATGTTTGTTAAAGAAAAAAGATATTAAATAATTGTTATAAATAATAATAAACAAGATACAATAATAATGTGAACGCTGAATGTTTATTGAAATTATTAAATTTACTTCAACGTACCTAAAACATAATTAAGTATAATGATTCATTAAATAAAGAAATGCAGTAAACATTTTCAAGGTTAAGTGCCTCAAAGCTTATGTCATAATCTCGGAATAGTTCTTAATAAAAACAATATAATAATGATAAAAATATTTTATCAATAGAATTAGTGAATAATAAATTAATTTACTCATTTTTTATTATTTTTGGTCAAACTACAATAGACATTATTATAAAGACATGATTTGATTCCATCATCCATCAAATAAAATTGCAGGAAAAAAAAACTACATTAACTTTGCGAGGCTTGTAAATTGAAGAAAATATTGTTGGCAAGTAGGTACGACTCAATACCTCGTCCGATTTTTTTCTTCTAATGAAATGTTCACTGCAAATGCGATCATAGGGCTTGGGAACCCACGGCGGTGATCCATCAACACTACAAATATATATTTTGCATTTTTCAGCATTGTATTAATTAAACTGTTTGCAAAATAAACATTTTAGCGCTATGTGATAACTTTTATTTTTCTTTTAATCATAAAATTACAATTATTATATAATAAAATGTAATTAATATATAGATAATAATTATACAGAATCAATATACAATATATAAATATATATTTTTCATTATTTCAGCCTTGTATTAATTACATTGTTTGCAAAACAATTTTTTCTAGTAAGCATTAAATTTTGATAATTTAACAATTTTTTGACTTATAATTTTTCTTTTTGCTAAACATAACAATTTTACAACTATTCATAGTACTCCGAATTGAATTTTTATTAGAATAAGGTTATGATACTTACTTTTTTCTTCTAACCGCAGCTATCCACTTTTCCCGTTGATTTTCTTTCCACTTAGCTGTAGAAAATGTATAGAATTTGCAGTCACTTTTTCCGCTAGTATTTCTACAACCCACTATACAACAGCTTTGGTGGCTCATTTTTATTTATCTTATTTAAATTTGAAATAAACAAATATTTTATGTGTTTTTGTTTAAAATTTCGGTTACATTAGCTACATTTAATGCTCAAAGTAGCCACTACGAACGCTTCGGTCGATTTGACTTCCCCTTCCATGCCTTCGCACATTTTAGATAAACGCACCATAGATAAAAGAAGAGTATAGCACAAAACCGTTAAAGATCATACTTGCTTTCAACCTGTCTTTCTTTTTGCAAAAATAACATTAATGTTATATTTTGTTAGTTTCTTTAAATATTCTATATAATATTACCATCATTTAATGATAAAGCTGTAGGTTTACAGTTTTTTTCTTTGATATCTACAGTTTTTTTCTGGCCTACCTACAGTTTTTCTCTATGGCGGATCTGTCAGCACTGACGACACATCCCATCCCAGACCAAACACATAAATACGGTCCGGCATCAGTCAAATATTTGACTAAAGTCAGTTTCAGTGATCGTTATTTGTCGTTTGCAAAAAGCATTTATTTTATTTTGGCTATTTAACTTGTGGATTTCGTTGTTTTTATTCGTTTCATGTAGCATTTTTCAAAATGGATGGTGTAAGTTTAGAGAAATTCGAACAAGAATTGTTAAAAAAGCAGAAGCTGTATCTGTCGCTTATACAACCTGTAATACAAGAATTAGTGGACGAACATAATGTGAGTTCTACTGATTACTCGTAGATATTGTCTTTAATTATTCACTCATTTACAAATTTCAATATAAGGATGAGTATATTAATGTTTCTTCCTGGGAAGTATTCAACTTACACATACACTGGATATCTTGGAACCACATTTAATCTGTACGGTATACCTTCAAAATTCTATAATTTATTCTCAAGAACACTCTATATATGTAATCACAATTACTACCGTTTACATATACTTTAATACTTCATTTTCAATCTTCAAAGGCTCAAATAACACCAATAATCAGCTTAAAAGGACTTGTGATGAAATAATTAAATGTGTTGTGACAGTTTGACGAAGCATTACATTTATAAAATGCAAGTTCATTTTCTCTGGCTCGTTTTTTTAAGCTTTGTTTCGTATGTCCAATACACAATGCCAGACGATTATTGCAGTTTATTTTGTATATTCTGTCACACTCCTCCAAATCTTTTATAAATAATGTTTTATTGACTTCCCGTAGGGTAAGTTATTGTAATCGTCCAAAAATCGAAATTGAAAATTTTTACATTTCTCAACGTTTTGAAGGTTTCTGAGCATTTTGGCATACCTCAGAAAAAATGGATCGGTGTGCGTGTGTATGTATGTATGGATATAATCTTTCGTTCACGTATTCGGGCGCACGGATCAACCGATTTGAATGGTTCAAAAACATTCGATTCCTATTGATAGGGAGA